TTGGGTAGACAAGTTTCAGTGATGGCCGTTTGTTTTGAATCAGCTGTAGATCGGGCAAAGCAGAAGCCATATTGCTTGTCTGAGAGATGATCATGGGATGTAAGGTGGTTAAACACTTCGGTATTGATTAAAGCTTTCTCTAAAACTTTGCCGAAGAGGGGAAGGAGACTGATAGGACGGTAAATAGATGGAAGGGTCAGAGGGTCGTATAGAGTTCTTGAAGACAGAAACAATCGATGAGGACTTCCAGCAGTCAGGAAAAAAATTCCTTGAGGCAGTAATTATAACAGTTTAAACATTTTCTTATTGAAATAAATTTCTTCAAAACATTAGTTAAGTATCCCATTTTAAGTTTTTAATATAAATCAAATTTGATTGTAACTTTTTTTTATCAATTATATGAAAAACATAAATTTTTTTTTTAAATTTGAAGTCAAAATTTCGATTTTTGAGTTTGAAATAAAAAATTATTTTTCAAGCAAAGACGAGCCTTTTCTGAAAAGGAGGTCAGAATTTGAAATGAATGAACACTAGAAATTGAAATTTTTGTTCAAACATTCATTGCAGATCCGGATAACGTTTTTGTTTTTATATGATATGATATATTCTTCAATATATCTTTTTTCTTTTTTTAAAATTTTTCAAAGATATGTCCATTTAAAATGACATTAAAGATAGATAGATAGATATTTTAATTTCATTCAATGTTAGATAATGTTTTGATATGGAATAGAATAAAAATAAAAAATAAGGAAAATGAAATAGATTATAAAAGGATATATATTTGATTTGAAAATATTTTATATATAATATATATATAGAAAATATTTTATAGATATTTGGGTTGATAATAAATATTTATTAAAAATTGAGATTTTTTTGATCCCAAGTTTAAAATAGATAGATAAAATGAATATATAATTTAATTTGCAGTTTTCTGATTGAAATATTCATATTTTTAGATAGATTATATAAATTTTATAGATTATTATTGGATTGTGTATTCTTTTTGACTGAGATAGACAGATTTTCCTAAAATCCAATTGACTGAGATAAAAAAAATGATAGATAATAGATAGATATAAAAGATACATATATTTTTTTGAAAAAAAAAATTAATATTGTTGGAATAGACTTAAATAGATGATTTAGATATAATTATAAATAAATAAAACATGAAAATTGAAAATGAGAATTGATAGATAGAAATAAAATAGTTTACTAAAATTTTACATTTTTGAGATAGATAGATAGAAATAGATTCATATCAAATACCTTAAAGGTCATTTTCTTGAATTTTTTTTCAAATTTTTTTTTCTTTAAATTTTCTAAATTTAATTTTTCAAATTTTAAAAGCCTTTTAATGAGAGTTTCTTTTCGAACCAAGAAAAATTTTAAAATAAGGAATTTTAAACAATACTCAAAAACGTTGGGTTTTTTGGTCAGGTTTTGATAATTGATACCCTTTAACTTTAAAATTTTTAATTGAAAAACAATCCTGCATTTGCTTATAATAAAATAAAATAGAAAAAAAAAAAAATTTATTAAAATCAAATATTTATCCTTGTTTTTTTATCTATTTTTGAACAACAGAATTCTTTTTTTAAAAATGGTTTCAGTTTTTTTTTTTTTTTAAAATAATTTATTTAATTTCTTGTTATATTAACCTTGTTTTTTTTTTTTGTTTCTCTTTTTTTTAACAAAAAATACCTTTTTTTTTTTAAATTTTAATTTTAAAATTGTAAATAACCAACAAAATTGTCCTGGTTTCAATGAAAGAACGGAAAAATTCTATATATATTATATTTATAAGCATATTGAAAAAAAATTTTAATTTTTTATTAAAATTGCCAATTTTATTTGGCAGTATGTGAATGTCATCATTGAAAAAATCATTTTTCATGAAAAATAGGCAGATTTTTTTTTTTTTAATTTTCCAAAATAAAAAAAAAAAATCAAAATGAAAAAGAATTAAAAAATAAAAGAATATATTTATTAAAATTCAAGAAGGAGGAATACACACAACAACAATATAAAACAACGTCTGCGTATATTGCATATATATATCAATTGATTAAAAAATGAAATTTTTCTTAAAAAAGAACGAAAAATACTAAAATTTAATTTAGAAATGTTTTAATTGAAAATAAAAAAAAAAATTAAAAAAAATTATATTATTATATGAAATTATAAATTTTTATTCGAGTTTAAAAAAAAAATTTAAAAGACATTTTTTTTGAAATTTTATAAAAAAAAATTTTAAAACTAAAAAAAAAAATAGTTAAATAAATAAAAGAAAAAAAAAATAATATTTAAAGAATAAAAAAAAGAAAAAAAAAAATCTAAAATATTTTCTAATAAAAGAAAAGTTTTAAAAAAATTTTTTGAAAATCCATAAAAAAAAAAAGAAAGGATTTTAAGGAGATAGATATGTATAATAGGATATATGAATTAGATAAATAGATAATCTAAAATTTATAGAATGGAATAAAATAATAATGAATATAGATATATATATATGTAAAATAAACATTAAAATTGTTAAATAATTTGAAAATTTTTAATAATTTTTCACAAAATTTTGATAAATAGAATATCATAGATTTTAGAATGAATTATAAATTATTCATTTGAAAAAATATTTATAAATAGAATAGATAAATTGTTTATAGATATCAATAAAAACTATTGATTTATTGTTATTAAGAAATTTTTAAATATTAATATCATAGATTCAATTTCCCAAATTTTTTTTAAATTTGTTTTTTTGTAAATTAATGAATAAAAAAATTGTTCTTAATTTAAAATTTTTTGCTAAAAATGAATATAATTTAAAATGAATTTTTTAAAAAGAATTTGAATGTTTCATCAAAAGAAAGAAAGAAAAAAGAAAAAAAAAAAATTAATTGAAAATAAAGAAAATAATATAAATATTTATAGGGCTATAATAAATATTTATATATTATATATATTTAATTAAATTTTTATAGAAAAAAATGATATTTATTTATGTAGATATTATATAATTTCCTAAACTATATTGGTAATAGATAGATTTGAATAGATATTGTTTTTAGATTTATAAATTATCATAGATTTAATCAATATGAACAAAAGAAAATTTAAAAAAGAAAAAAAATGAAAAATCATGTAAAAAGAAAAATTAAAGGAAAAAAAAGAAAAAAATGGATGAAATTAATAAAAGAAACAAAATATATATATTCATCCATTTTATAAATAAGAGAGATTTTTAAGGAATTTAAAAGAAAAAATGATTTCTGAACAATTGAATATTGAATTTATATATATATATATATAAATTATATAAAAATATATATACAGGTGCGATGGGTAAATTGTCACCATTTTATATATTTACCTTTGCGCATGCGCCTCGTTTTTTTATTTTTTTTATGTTGTCGACTGCACTGTATAGTCGGGTCATTTGGGCACCGTCTGTAAGAAAAAGCGCACCATGACGCATTTCACACCGCCAGAAATTTAGAACCATCATGTTGTACTGCTTGGCATTCGCACCGGAAGCTCCAATACCAACATTTCAGAGTTTTTTTTTTCGTGCCAATCTGAGGAGAATGCAGAGAATTCAGAAAGAGTTGGGTGATTCTAATGGTGATTACGACGTTACAACAGCTCGAAAACTCACTCTGATTGTTCTGATAAGAAAAGAACTCTCGAATTTGTTTGTGAAGGACTCAGACTCAAAACGGAGCCTAACATCAAATGCCTTGAGGAATTTAGCTGTTTGGTTGGGTCAAGAGGGTGCTGCTGGAAGACCCTATGTCTGGCAACAGGACTCTATACCATGGCACACAAGCAGAAGAACCCAGTCATGGATGTCAGACAATTTTGTGAGAACATCACACCCTGCATCTGGTCACCTAACTCCTTAAACTGCCACCCTCTTGATTATTATGGGTGGGGCACAGCTGAACCAGAGACTAACAAAACTCCTTGTAACACCAAAAAATGAACTGAAGGCAAGGACTATGGCAGCATTCACCAACTTAAACAAGGAGAACGCCCAGAAGAGTTGCAGGAGATTCCGAAGTCGTCTGGAGGCCGTAGTTGAAGCCAATGGCGATTTTATTGAATAAGTATACTTTTTAGTATTCCAAGATATTTTTCTGTAATTTTGGTTAATATGTCTGTTGAAATGTAGTGCCAGTGTTATTTTCATTTTCGCGGCATTTAGACGACAATTTATCCATCGCACACTGTATATCTATTCAAATGAGATGCCAGTGTGATTTTTATTTTGGCCTCATTTAGACGACAATTTATCCATCGCAACGTGTACACTCAGAAAAGAACGAAAGGAGGAGGGAAAGAAGAAAGATGAGTGAAAATGCGAATGAAGAACGATATAATGAATGATAAATTAAACGAAGAAAGAAAAATAAATGAGAAGAGAAAGAAAGAAAGAAAGAAAAGAAAAAAAAAAAAAAAAACTCTTAAAAGAAAAAAAAAATAAAAAGAAGGAAAAGAAAAGAAAAATAAAAGAAAGAAAAAAGAAAAGAAAGAAATGTTTAAGAAAAAAAAAATTTCAAAGAAATTAAAAGAAAGAAAGAAAGAAAGAAAAAAAAAAAGAAAAGAATAAAAAAAAAGAAAATTTTTTAATCTTCAAGAAAGAAAGAAAAATGAAAAAGAAAGAAAGAAAAGAAAAGAAAGAAATTTTCTTTAGAAAAGAAAAGAAAGAAAAAATAAATTTAGAAAGAAAGAAAAAAAAGAAAGAAAATGAAAGAAAGAAATCGAAAGAAAAAGAAAAGAAAGAAAAAGAAAAAAAGAAAAAAATTATGAGAAAGAAAGAAAAGAAATTTTTATTAATTTGTTTTGACTGTAAAAAAGAAAATAAAGAAAACAAAAAAAGAAAGAAAAGAAGGAAAAAAAAAAAAAAAGAAAAGAAAGAAAAAAAAATAAAAGAAGGAAAAAATGAAAAAAAAAAAGAAAGAAAAGAAAATAAAGAAAAAAAAAATTCATTTTCAAAAGAAAGAAAAAAAAAGAAAAGAAGAAGAAAATGAAAAAGAAAGAAAATTCCCCTGTAAAAGAAGGAAAAGAAATTTTTTTTGAAAAGAAAAACGAGTTCTTAAAAAAGAAAGAAAAAGAAAGAATATGAAAAAAAAGAAAGAAAGAAAATAAAAAAAAAGAAAGAAAGAAAAGTTAAAAGGAAAAGAAAAGAAACAAAACAAACAAAATTCAGAAAGAAAGAAAGAAAGAAAGAAAGAAAGAAAGAAAAGAAAAAAAGAAAGAAAGAAGGAAAAAGAAAATGAAAGAAAAGAAGAAAGAAAGAAAAAAGAAAAATAAGAAAAAAGGAAAAAAGAAAGAAAATTTTGAAAAAAAAGAAGGAAAAGAAGAAAAGAAAGAATTGCAGGTAAAGAAAGGAAATTAATTAAAAGAAAGAAAATAATGGAATAGCAAAAAATAAAATAACTGCGAAAAGAAAGAAAAAAGAAAGAAAGAAAATGACAGCAAGAAAGAAAGAAAAATAGAAAGAATTTATACAGGACGAAAAATGGCAAAATAAGAGTGAAATAAACAAAGAAAGAAAGAAAAAAGATAACAATCGAATGAAAAGAATTTTCCACCGAGAAAAGAAAGAAAAATGAAAGAAAAGAATGAAAAAAGAAAGATATCAAATCAAAGAAAGAAAGAAAGAAAAGAAAGGAAAAAGATAACAAATCTGTAATACATTGATGAAAACAAAAAGATTAGAATTAAGATACTTTGGGGATTTCCCTTCTCATCAAAATATCCAAGACTGCAGCTCCCTTCAAATGAACGTTACAAAATTCTTCCTTTCTTCATAAAAGGAAAGAGAATCTTGTAATGTCTTCTTCAAGAATTGCCATATCGAAAAGCAGTTCGAGTTAAGAAAAAAATGAAAACACCGACTTATAAAAAACACGATAGAACGAACTGGATTTGGAGAAAAAAAATATATATATATAAAGAAACAAATGTGCAATTGTCACTTTTTATTTTTTTTGCGTTGCATCAGAGACGAGGCATTCCTTTCTTTTGTGAAGTCACGAAATGACCATTATGGCTTCGTTGGTTCTGACTAGAGGCCAGTAAATCTCTGTGAGCTTTAGAGGGAGAATGTCTTTGTAATGAATACAAATGGCGAGGAATTCTTGCCGTAGATAGAGGGACTTTTGATAATGAACAGGGATCTCTATAAAAAAAACCCTAAAAAACATTCCCAATGTCCATTTTCTTTTCCTTCCTGGTTATTTTTTTTTCTTTATTACTAGGCGTATCCTGCAAATGTCTCCTGGGTGTTAGAAGCTAAAATTATCTCGTGCCACTGACCAATTTGAATACTGTTGCCATATATGGCCTGGAGCCCCCACTGTTAATCTCGTGGTCCTAGACAAAATCCAGAGAAAGATATTTAATGTAATAATTCCTCATCTGGCATCTCAGTCTGCAAATCACTTTCTCACAGACGTGTTGTATTTCCCTCTATTTTTCTACAAAAATTTTCATGGCAACTGATCTGGCAAAATAAATTCACTGGTGCCCTAACTTTATGAATTTAAATCATGCTAATGAAATTCTTGGGTGGACGATTTCCTGTTGTTATGAAGAAGAGTACTCGAGGCTACAGAGATGTGGTTCACAGAAGGAAACTAAGGATGTCATGAACCAATCGTGTTTGAACGATCAGATCTAAGGGAGGTTGCAAAGAAGGAGGAAAAATGGATAATATCAGGAAGAGGCAGCTGAAGGGTCTTCATCGGTACATAATGAGGAAAGAATTTCTGAAAATCTGATAAAATTATAGAAGCAAAGATAGAAAGGAAAAATTTAAATGACATACCTGGCGGACTTAAGAAAAAAGCATGACAGAAAATGGTCTGGGGAGAAAAGCAGTAGGAAGGAACTTGTTCAGATTGCAAGGGATAGAAGGAGGTGGATTATATGAAAATATTACTTCCTGAATTGACATAATCGCATAAAAAGAAAGAAACATGTTGGCATCTCGAAGACACAGAATCTCACTGTCGAAACAGTTTAATATAACTGTCTAGACCTATATAAAAATAATCTTCTCTCGCACTTCCCAAGAAGTGGAACTCCCTTCCTCTTACTTGCTTCCCTATATAAATAAATCTTCAAATAATAAATGTAATGTCAATCGACATCTTCTGATACTATGTATTTGATCGAAATTGTCTGTTTATCCTTTCCTCAAAAACCCCTCTTTACTCTTGCTCTCTCCGAAAGTAACCCCTTGCGTGCTATGGCACTTGTACCTTTCATTTAGGTTAAATGCTTAGGTAAAAACATTTTTATATTTTTTACGGTATCTTTTCATTCCAAAAATTATCCTTTAAATATCAATAAGATATAACGCCGATGTTTAAAATCTAAAAAACAACAACAGTAATCCCCATTTTCAACATAATATATCTTGAGGTTTATCACACCGCCTTCTGCTCATGCGTGCTTATAGCTGTGCTCACGTGATTGAAATTTGAGCTGGATCGCGCCAGTAGCAGTATGCACCAATAAGTAGCAAAGAGCAGGGATCCGAATCTACAGAGAACATGCTACCTCATGACGAATCTTCTGGTCATTGGTAGAGGTTGCCCTCCTTCTTCGTGCGTCACGTTTGAGAAATTGTTCACAGCAGGTAACAAACCCAGCAATTCAAAGATAGCAAGCCATTACTGCCCTACATTCTTGAGCCATGAGCATAATGATTTGTTGAAAGGATACGTTTTAAAAAAAAAAAAAAATCTTTTTTTACTGGATATCTTGGAATTTCACGAAGACGAAATCCGTAAATAATTTGAATCGTAAAGTTGGAACGTGTACTGCATCTGTAGCAGAAATGGTGTGTCTAGGGCAAGATATTTTAAAAACCAAATTTCAGGCAATCGCTGTATTCAAAAATTTCCTTCTAAAATTCAGGTTGCCAATCAAGGATATAAACAAGAAGTCTCCTGGTATTTACTGATTGTTGCGACTATATATATATATATATATTAAGAAATGGACAAGGTCCGGCAATTTATTTATGACACACACACGCACATTTTCACACACACACACACAAAACACTTCACACATATATATATATATATATATATATATATATATATATATATACTATATGGCGTTGCTTTACATTCAAAAAAAATATATATATATATTAAAATATTTTTAAAATATATTCCTTGCCTTTTAAAGAAATGCCCTTTGAGAGTATTGCTTTTGATGTTATAAAACATGAGACTTCTTTCTTAAGACTATCTCATACTGCGAATTTTTTCTAATGCTTAAAAATTAAATCTGTTACGAAAAAAAGGAGGACAAAATGAACACAAAACGATCACTTTGAAAAAATGTAGATCCTTTTGTGGCCGAGACGATTAAAAAAAAATTTAGTAAATGACAGTTCCGTTTTAAAAAAGAAGTTCAGTTCGAATCCTGTCAAAGAACGAAAATTTTCTATGAAAATTTCTCAACATTCAGGCCGGTAAATGTTATTTAATACTGTTTATTATAAACAGAGCATTTGCTTAAATACTTGTATCTATAAATAACAACGTTAAACATAAAAATGTTTTAAATATATATATATGTGTGTGTTGTAGATTTCATTATAATATATATATATATATATATATATATGTATAAATATAATTTATATGTTGCAACAGAAAATGATGTCTATGTATAATTTTATAGGGATTTTAAGTATACAAAAATCATTTCTCCCCCTTCTTCTCTTCCTGTTTTTCCCTTTTTCTTTAAAAAAAATTTTTTTTATCGAGTGAAAAAGAGGTTTACGAATATAACAACCATCGCATTTCCTAAATGGCATTTAATCATTATTTTTTTTGAAAAATGTATTGATGAATTGTATTTTTTTTTAAAAAAAACTGTTTTGCTGGTAATAAAAGTTTTTCAAAATGATACCACGGCATTCCTGGTAATATTTTTTTTTTTAAAAAATATATTCCTGGTAATTTTTATTTTTTTTTTTTCAAAAATGTAATGCTAGTAATTTTTTTTTTTTTTTTCAAAAATGATATTGCCCAGTAATATTTTATATTTTTTTTTAAATTGTATTGCTTTTAACTTTTTTTCTTGAAAAAAATTGGTAATTTTTTTTTTCAAAAAAAGTTTTGCCGTTCATATTTTATATTTTATACAAAAAATTTATTTTGGGATTTATTTTTTTTTTTTTTATTTCAGTTCAACTTATTGCTGGTAATATTTTATATTTTTTTAAAAATGTATTGCTGGTAATTTTTTTTTTATAAATGTATTAAATTGATAATATTTTTTTTTTGAAAAATTATTTTGCAAATTTTTTTTTTAATTCCTTATGGTAATTTTTTTTTTTTTTCCAAATAATGTTTACTGGTAATATTTTTTAAAGAAAATGTTTTTTTAGTTCAAAATTATTGCTGGTAATTATTTTTTATTGGTTATTTATTGCCATAATAAAATTTTTTTTTGTATTTCTGGTATTAAAACCTATTTTACACTTTCCTCAAATTTAACCCAGTTTTGGGGTGTTAACTATTTGCCCATAACTTTATAGCCTAACAGTTGCTGTCACCCTAAGTAAAGATGTCGAACTAAACACCATCAAATAAATATCTGGTTCCATTCTCCTAAAATCTCCTAATCAGAGGCCTTGCTGTTGGATGTAGTTTATCGTCATAGATAGGATAGTATTCTCTTTGAAAAAAAAGTTTTACCACTGAAACCAAACATGGATGCTGCATCATAAAAGTAAAATTCAGTCCCGAAAATGTCTTGGAATTTTTCTGATTTCAAAACATTTTTTACATCTTAAAAATTCATTATCAACAAATTAGAAAATATAAAAATATACCATGTTACACTGCAATTGTAAACGTTGAATAAAGTCATTGGAAAAATAATAATGACGGATATTAATCTTCACCAGGTATTTTTAAATTTCAGAATTTTTTGTTCTCTAAGACTGGTTACCAACCAAAAATATAGGCTCCATTCTGTCCCGGTTATTTATCCATAGATGGATTCATATTTTCCAAAATCATTTGAGTGTAAGTGAACGCAATGAAACTCGAACTCAGGTTGTTGATTCCATATTCCCATTTTACCAATATATACCATTGTATATATATGACTAAAAATTGGTACCAAAAGGGTGAAAAAATATCAAGAGACCTTTCGGGATTATCATTCTTGCCAAATATTTACAAAAAAATATCGAAGACATTAATATTTTTTGGTGAACCTTAAAATATTTATTTAGAGTCGGATAAATACAGGTTATAAATAATATATATTTTTTATTTTTTTAAAGTTCTATGAAGATTTTCCTGAATAATTACGAATGGTTTTAAAGTGCATATCATAAAACATCGTTTTTTCATCTAAGCGGAGAGACAAGTGAAATTCACAAAATTTTCCAAAAAAACACACACACACACACACTGGAAAAACACACACATTCATCGTTAATATAAATATATATATATATATATGAATATAATAAAAGACACATCTGAAACTTGTAGGTTGAGAGACAAAATTAAAAAGATAAAGCTGTGGTCAAGTTTTTGGTATCAAATGAGAACTTTGGTGTTGTGGGGGAATGGAAATTAAATAATAAAATAATTAATAAACATAATAATTTAAAAAAATAAATAATTTAATTTTCCCGTAACCCAAATGGAAACCAAAAAAAAAGTCATTTAAAATACGTGCAAAGTTCAGTAACTTTTTCCGAAAAGTCTGTATACTTTTTTGAATCTTGGATCCTTTCAAAGTAAAGGAAATTTCAGTTTATCTTGAGTGTCATGTTGCTAATGAGGTCAAAAACTAAGAACTTATTCAGTTTAGATTTACACAAAAAAAATGCTTAATACCCTTAATTTTTCCAAGTAAGACAACAATGTTATTTATTGTGGTCCAACAAAATTATCATCTTTTGATACCAGACGAAAAAAAACAAATACCAACCTACGACAGTTATACAAATTAATCTCCACAAAAAAAAAAATATCCTGATATTAGGAAAATATTAAAATTCCATTTTCTGTGTTTCTGATAGGACTGTGGATTACATGACTTTTTATAAAGTTACAAATGAACATTTTTTTTCAGTCATCAACCTAACGACACTGCCTATTGTAACCTTAATTTGTTTATATATTTCTAAAAAAAAGAAAAATTGTTTTACCAT